GAAGGGAAAATGAGTGAAGACCTTCTCATATCCAGCTTTTCTTACAGGAAAATCTGGTATCGTGAAAGTTGGGAGGCAGTTGCTGTAGTGTCAAAGCAAAACGGCCCTCTCTGCTGTTGAAATGGCATTGATGTTCTTTCACGTCCCAGCAGTTGGAGGCATCCAGCTGGAGCTGGAAGCAGAGCAGAAAGATTGAATTCTGGTGGCCTGAGGTGAAGTTTCAGCAGAGGTAAAACATAGCTTCTCTGGTGAATAGACTTTGCACTAATACAATGAGAATTCTGCTCATGAGATCTAAAATGTTTCCAGATTATCTTGCCATGATTGGCATGAAAAGAAGCATTCCAAACATGGTGAGGCTTGGAAGAATTAGGCAGCTGGCTAAGTATTACTGGCCCATTTATGGAGAGGGAGAGGAAATGGGTTCAAATGGGAGCAAATGTTCTTCTGTCAGGGTGATCTTTGCATTGGCATCTGTCTTATGCCTCTGGCAAACTGGCAAGTTATTTGTTGATGTGTAGCCTACCCATACACTTAGTGCAAACAGCTGACTACCCTTTAATGCAGTTACATGCCAGTTCAGTGACTTTCCATTGGAAGCCTCAGGAGCAGAGCACATGGAGAACAGAGGTTTGGCCAGTTCAACAAGGCCTGTTCCCTGATAGAAAGCAAGAAGAACTCCTGATGAGACTCATCTATTTGTGTTCATACCTGGCTCTGATGTGACCTTCATCTGCTAGAGACAAGCAGGCTGTCAGGATAATGTCTAGGGACATGCATCAGATATTCACCAGTACCTCTCAGTGTGAGTCTGAGCCTCCCCAAGTTTGTTTCTACTCCCACTGATAACTTCAGGTTTTCAGTGGCAGGTGAGAATACAAGAAGTACAAGTGGTCTTGGTCTTGAGTTCTGTTCTTGGGTATCTTTTCTTTTTTGGGGAGTTTGGGGGGATTTTTTTTTTCTTTTTTTCTTTTGTTTTTTTAAAGTATGGTGCTCTTCTGCTTATTCCAGGCTTATCTACAGAAAGCCAGTGTGCTATAGCAAGACCTCCAAACACTTTGCAGACTGCCCTTCTGGGGCTCTTGAATATAAAATGTTTGAATCCACATTTCAAAGTTTGTGCTGCTCATACATCTGCTCAGACTATCCTAGTTGAAGCCAGGTTAGCCCGTTCCCTAACTGCTGAAACACTTCCTTTCCCTGTGGTGCATTTTGTTTATAAGAGAACAAAATGCAAATGGTAGACTCTTGCAAGGGATTCTTGCTTGCTTATTTCCTTGCTTTAATTAAACTTCCACATCATTCTGATGATAAATGTTTAATTTGTCTGAGTGCCTTGGAAACTTGATGCCAGAAAGATCTGTGGTTTCCACATAAAGTTGCTTCAGTGCTAAGATCCTTGCAGTTGGAATTATCTAGTTCATTTGAGTGGTGAAAATGTAGTGAGTGAGAATAGCATCCCAAGGGTATTCACCCCAGGTCGGCTATAGTTTTGTATGTTGTATAGTTAATAGCAGGTTGCATTTTTGATGCGGTTAGCAAGAAAATAAATCCAGGTCACTAGGACTGAAGCTGTTTAAATGCTGACTTCTGGGAAGAGGTAATAAGTGAAGCAACCATCTGGAGGAGACCTGCAATATGAATCCAGAAATAGTGGACAGAAGCTGACAGCTGTGCTCCATCCAATTCTATACCAGCCCAGTGTTTACATGTTGCTCTATGTTAAATAAATGAATGAATCTGCTGGGCTTCCTTCAAATATTTATGTATCTGAAAAAGTTAACTGCATGTACAAATGACTTTTAAAATTCATTGTATTTTCATTCAAGGGCTTCTGTCAACAGCTATTTGTTGAGGTTAGAAGCATTGCCAAGTATTTTATCTCAAGCTTTAAGAAATAGGGTGAAGTTTTGGCTGCCGGTATGACGAGTTTAAACTCTACACGAGGGCTGTACTGCTGAATGGAGATAGATGCAAATAAGTGTGCTGTGTAAAATCCCAGCATGAGAATTCTGTCATCGCTCCTGAGTTCTTCTCTTAGTCTTGTCAGGTACAAAGGGTGTTGATAGCCCTTGTACTTTGCTTAAAAGTCGATTTCAGTGCTAGCTTTTCAAAAGCTAGCCTTGCATGGCAGTACTATTTCCAGCATATTACCTTCATAATCAGATTTGTCGCACTAGAATTGGGACTTTGGGGCTAGAGTAAGCTGCTGAGGAGCTGCTAGGACTATCATTTTAAAAGCTACACCAGCCTTGAACAGACACCCTGAGATGCATTTGTTTTATCACCGTTGCACCTGATACGTGTGGGATATACTTTGGAATATGACATACTGACGAGTCAAAATACCTTTATTGTGCTGCGGTTGATTAGTCTATAAGTTAATGTGTCTGTATCTAATTACATTATAAATCTCTCTATTTCTCAGTGGAGCATGCATAAATAACTGTTTGGTGACAGTGATAAGGAAGCTCATATGCCTGTGTTACCACACATGCTGTGAAGTCCTTGTGTGTAAAATATTTAAAGGCTTTCCCAGTAGCACAGTAGAGTTTGAAAGATTAAAGGATTTCTATGACATAGTGCTTTGCGTTTTGTCCATGACTGTGTTCAGTCAGGTCTTTAATATCTCCACAGGTGGAGACTCCACCACCTCTCCAGGCAACCTCTTTCAATGTTTGACCATCATCGCAGTAAAACATTGTATTCAGATGGAATTTCATGTATTTTCATTTGTGCCTGTTGCTTCTTGTCCTGTCACTGGGCACTACCAAGAAAAATCTGGCTCCATCTTCACTCTCTTCCATCAAGTATTTATATGCATTGATAAGATCTCCACTGAAACTTATCTTCTCTAGGCTAACCAGTCCCAGCTGTCAGTGTCTCCTCATATGAAAAGCAGTCCAGTCCCATTATCACCTTCATGAACCTTTATTGGACTTGCTCAAGTGTGGCTTGGGGTAGTGTGGCTGGAATGATGTCTGGCAGAAAAGGCCCGTGGGGTATGGGTCAACAGGCAGCCTAATTTGAACCAGCAGTGTGCCCAGGTGGCTGAGAAGGCCAATAGCGTTCTGGCTTGTATCAGAAACAATGTGGCCAGCAGAACTAAGGAAGCAATTGACTCCCTGTACTCACTGAGTCTGAGTACACTTTGAATAGTTTTTGGTTTTGGGTCCCTCACTACAAGAAAGACATTGAGGTACTGGAACACATTGAAAGAAGGGCAATGAAGCTGGTGAGGGATCTAGAGAATAAGACTTATGAGGAACAGCTGAGGGAACTGGGGTTGTTTAGTCTGGAGAAAAGGAGGCTGAGGGGAGACGTTACCTCTTTCTACAACTACCTGAAAGGAAGTTTGTAGTGAGGTGGCTGTCAGTCTCTTTTTCCGAGTAGTAAGTGATAGGACAAGAGGAAACAGCTTCAAGTTGTGCCAGGGGAGCTTCAGATTGGATGTTAGAAAAAAATTCTTCACCGAAAGGATTGTCAAGCAGTGGAACAGGCTGCCCAGGGAAGTTCCTGGAGGTATTTAGAAGACGTGTAGGTGTGGTTCTTTTTAGTGGTGGACTTGGTAGTGTTAAATTAACAGATTGGACTTGATGCTCTTAAGGGTCTTTTCCAGCCTACGCAGTTCTATGATTCTAATTTTGCAGCTTCTCCAGATTCCTCTCAACGGCAGTACAGCTATCTCATTATCACCCACTCCATCCAGTTTTGTATCAGTAGATAGAGTGAACCTGGCTTTGTCTAGCCAAGGCTTTGCGAACTCCAGAGAATGGAGACAGCTTCCTCAAATTACCTGGTGACCTGTCTTAGGGCTGCACCAGGGGAGGAACATTTCTCTGGTGTCCCACTTGTATCTCTCAAGCTACATCTTGTGTCTGTTTCTCCTTATTGTATTTTCTGACATTTTCTGACAAACCCCAGAAGGGTTTGGTTCTGACTGCCCTTCAGGCAGCTATTATATCCCCCCTGGCCTTCATCAGACAAACTCAAACCATCTCTCCTTATCATAGGCACCAGGACCCTGCTATCTTGGTAGCTCTGCACTGGTTCCTTTCTAGTTTTATGAACTAGCTCACTCCTTGCACACTCCATGTAGGGAGTGTGCAGACTGGATGCAGTAGGACTCACCTGTTGGTTGTAGCGTCCTTGGGGCCAAGGGTGAAGGCATGACAGCGTGCCCCTTGATTTTGTAGCTGTGCTCCTTCTAACAAAGCCCAGTTTTAAGTTTGCTGCATTCAGGAGGGCAGTACATGGTTCCTTTCTTGTAAAGCTTCAACATGTTTACTTTTTTATAAGGTCAGTGTTAATTTAAAGAAATATGTGTCCCTTAATACAGTGTGAGTTAAGCCCTAGTTAACAATGCTTTTGTTTAGTGTCCTTACTCTAGTACTAGCTCATTTTCTGCTGATATCCTGCAGAGTTAACTGCAGAGAATTTTTTTATCAGCATACAAAATTGTACTGTGGGGTTTCTTTTTTCTGATCTTTTTATGTTTGAATTTCACTTCTGAATTTCACTGAATTTCACTGAATTTCTAGAGTTGGAAGGGACCATAGAGATCATCTAGTCCAACTCCCCTGCTGAAGCAGGATTGCCTAGAGCTAGAGCATGTTACTCAGGAATGATCTCCTCTTGAAGAGTTAACTGCATACACAAATTTCAACATTCTTGGGGATTTATGTACAGTTGCTTGTAAGCAGGCTTTACACAGGTTGACAGAGATTGTGTGTTTCTTGTAATCTGGCTCTGTGCAAGCCGGAGAATGTTGGTGGAGCCATAAGACTGTTTGTGCTGTGGTTGTTAGCTGGAGGAAACTTTTGTTTCCAGACAGTTACCAAATGTAGAGGTAGAATTTAGAAGTCTTGTACAAGCTTGACATCTGTATAATGATGTGGCTATTAAGGAATGGGTGGAAGTTGAATGCTTTAAAATTATTTACTGTAATGATAAGGCATGGTTAGTAGTGATGCTGACACAATTTTCTTTCTTGCCAACAGAGTTTCAGAAGCAGGAAGTCATGAAATCTCATCAGAAAAGCATGCAGCTCTATGACACACCCTATGAACCAGAAGGCAGTGGTGTGGAATCTGATTCTGAAAGTGTGGTGAGTCACCATTTACGAGAAAGCAAATTGCCACAGGATGATGACAGGCCTTCAGATGAGTATGATCAACCATGGGAGTGGAACAAAGTCACCATCCCAGCTCTGGCAGGTAGGATTCTTAGATCCCAAGCAGGAAATCCTCTCTCACACTCATAGCGTATATATTTTCCTTTGGAAGAAATCAAGTATTTCTGCTATTTTTTGGGGGGATGGGAGGAAGGGAAGGGGGCAGAAATCTCCAAAAAGCAAATGTGGGTAGTCTCAAATCTTTACCTGCTGAAGAAACATGCACTTTTTGTTTGGTGCTTCAGCTGACTGTCAACTATCTCAGCACTTAGTTCATGTTAGTAAAACTTCTGTTTCTTGGTTCATGTTAGTAAAACCTCTGTTCCTCCCACTCCTTGCCCCTACCCTTATTTTAACGGACATGGTGCAGATAGTGTTTATTGTTGAGCAGCTCAATGATGAGGGAGTTGCTTTACAAGGTCCTTAAACTGTGGGGTAATTCTTAAAGTAGCAAGACAAAAAATAGCTGTGTAACACACATGCAGTAACATGCTTCTCCTCAGTGGTAAGTTTCTTGGTATTTGGAGTATTTTCATTGTAATTGCAATCATTTCTGCGGATAGGTAGAACTTGTTTTTGGACTAATCCTTTTGAGCTGCCGACGGTCTCCCACATCAGACCTTGTTAGTCAGGGAGACCTGACACAAACTGTTTTCTGTCTCTGTGAATGTCTGTGCTTGGTATTAGTTACACTGGTCTTTTTTTTTTCCCTTCTTTTGCTTTACAGAAATGGCTGAGGGGGCCTTCACTCAGTGAGGACATGATTCTAAAAGCTGAAGCTTTTTCTTTCATAGACCCTCTGTGCCCAGCAAAACCCAGCTGCACCAGTTGGTCTGACCATGTGCCAGGATGCTTTTGTGCATGCTAGAGTCATACGTGCTTTATCATATTCCCCTCAATGGCATGTTCTAGTGAAAAGCTGCATCCAGGAGCAGGGTTGATCCCCTTCCTTTTTAGGAGTCAGCTTGGCAGAAAGCTTGGAAAGCAGAAGTTGGGGGGGGGGATGATTGTGGGGATGAGGAGGGAAGAGATGTGGGTTTGAGAGGGAGCCTGGAAGAAGCCTGAGAGCAATGATTTATAGTCAGTGTGCATTTACCCTGGGTAAATCCTGCTTGACAAACCTGTTTTCTTTCTGCGTTGAAACTGGTAGATCTGTTAATGGAAAGAGAGCAGTAGATGTTGTCTATGTTGACTTTAGCCTTCAGCATGCTGTGCTGTGGCATCAGCTGTGTTACCTTGTTTGGAATGCTGTGGCCTAGATAAGTCAACTACTAGATATGTAGATATGTAGGAAATCTGTCAGAGTCATTGACTTCAAAGGGTAGTGCTAAGTGATTCATACTCTTCCTGGAATCTGGCTACAAGTGTGATTCCTCAGGGGATCTGTTCCAGAACTCTTCCTGTTTAGAATCTTTGTCAGTAACCTGGAGGAGGAGGGGAAGTGTATCTCATCAAGTTTGGAATGATATCAAAAGGGATGAGAGCGCGCGCGTGTGTGTGCACAGTTGCTGAATGGGCTGGATGGGCTGAATTGCTGGGTTGCAGCTTTACTGGAAGGGGCTTAAGGAATCCTGGGGGAAGGTGGACAAAATGTGGTTAGCAGTGCTCCTCCCCAGCAGTGATGAAGGCTAGAAGCACCCTGGCCTCTGAACAAGAGCATAGCCAGTAGATCAAGCCAAGTGACTGTTCCTCCTTGCTTCACATATCTTTAACAACATGTGTAATGCTGTGTCCAGTATTCTAGTGCAAGAAAGATGTTGATAAATGTTGATGTCAGCAGAGAGCCACCAAAATGACAGGAACAGCAGCACATGATTTGTGAGGAGGCACCAAGAGAACTGGACTTGCTTAGCCTGGAGAAAAGAAATCATTTGGGGGGATGTAATAGCAACTTTTCAATGCCTATGAGGAGATCTTCAATAAGATGGAGCCAGGTTCTTCACAAATGAGCAGATGTGTGATGGGAAGATGAGATGTAAGTTGAATCAGGGGAGGTTCTGACCAATATAGGAAACTTTTTTTTCCTCTGCAAGGACAGTCAAGCATTGGAACCAATTGTCCTGGGAGCTCTTGCACTCTCCATCTTTATATTTTTTCACCCTGTGTGAAGGGATGACTGGATAAAGTTCTGAACAACCTGATCTGATCACATAGCAGACCCTGCCTTGAGCAGGTTGGACTAGACACCACCCACGGTCCCTTTCCATCTGACTTACTTTATGTCTTTGCAATTCTGTGTGCCATGATATTGCCATGCTTCAGAAATTAGAAGTGACTTCTCTCCACAGAACAGGGCAACTGTTCTGTAAACAGAGTGTGTTGTGACAATACCCTTCTTGAGTGTTTCTGACCTGATTCCCTAACAGGTAGGCGGATATGGGTGACAGAAATGTGTTTCTGTTCTAGCACAGTGGAGTAGAGCAGCGGTGATCTATTTTGAGAGTGATTCTGCCTCTCTGCTTCATTTGTTCTTACATCTTTATGGTGTGGTTGATTTGGGTTTGTTTCCAAGCCAAGGTGATATCTGCAGTATCCATCCTGTGAAATGTGGGTGGGAGAAAGAGATGCATGGATGAACCTGAAGCAGCTGCTCAAAAAGAAACCTCTTGCTCAGCATCACCTTTCCTCTTGTTGGGCTCCTATGGAACAGAAGAGGAGGTTAGAGAAAAGTGATTTCTATTTCCTATCAGCATGCTTTGCTGTGGCATATGAGCTGCTAGTAATCTTGCAGAGTTCCAGGCTCAGCTACTTTCTCATTAAGCATATGCTGATAATTCTTTCAAGCCTGGTCCTAAACAAGCATCTATTTCTACTGGATGCTGTGTAGTTAAAGTAGTCTCTTTCCCTAAACAGCATGAACACAAAAGTCTAACCTGCTTGTGTGGCTTTTAGCAGGATATGCAGTTCTGCTGCTGAGCTCTGCCTGGTGGAAGCAAGCTTTGATTGAGGTTTGCCTGTGCTGGCTCATCCCCTTTCGCTGGACCAATTAATGTGCTTGCAAGACTTGTGCTGGGAGATTGCCTGGTTGTGAGATCATGGGTAGGATTTGGGATATCTATTGTGTGTCAAGACAGGCTAATGAACAAAGATGTGTATCACTAGGTTTCCAGTGCCTCAATGACTGTTTTGCACATGCTGAATATCAGTCTAGTATATGTGTGTAGGGTGTGTAAAGCTGCCAGTTTTGTGTGTATGCTATGGCATTGCTGTCTGCCTCAGTTCAGTTGATATTTCTGTGCCTTTTCATGTGTGCCTGTGATGGCAGTAGTGCTGCCTTCCCCTAGAGCATATGTGCAGCCTCTGTCTCCTTACAGGTGAGCCTTACTACACAGCAGCATGATCTGCAGTAACTCTATTGTAGGGGTAGGATACCGGCTACCTGGAACAATCCACAAGCATGTCCCACAGGACATCCTGTAGGGACTGTGCAGAGCCACAAGCAGTGGATTTGCAGTGGGTCTGAGACTGCTCTCTGTATTGTTTTCCACAGAATTTCTGTATTTTCCATTTGAGATTCTGGAGGGTTTTCCACCATTTTCACTTTGCCATGTCTGCTTCTTGCCCATCTTTCTTTCATTTGTGGTTTTCTTTTCCCCCTTCTTTTGTCCCACAGAACTGCATCTACGTCTAGACTCTCTCATTCTTCTTCCTACCTGAACCCACTCTGTTACCTTCTTACATCTCCTTGGAATTTCTCTTTTCCCACCTTCAGATACCTGGTCCCTATGACCCAAGACCCTCTCCTCTTAGCTGTGTGTGCATTTCTGTCCACAAGGAAGAAGGATGGTGTGCTTCTTCATTCATCCCCAACCTTTGAGCCCCCTCAGCTAGGCCAGATGCCATGGGACTGTCTGGGTTACAGTGACTACAGATTTCTGTTGAAGAGCTCCTGCAGGAGCTGACTGTGTTAGCTGAAAGGCTTCCAGTTATTTTTGCCAACCTGTCCAGTGTTTACTTGGCCGGAGGCATGTTCAGCCATTCTTACTTGTATTCTTGGACAGTTTGGAGTTAGAGCTACTTTTAAGCCAAGCATATTTTATTTGAAGATGAGAGGGTAAGTGGAGCCCTTGGACTGCATAAAGGGCAGGGAGGAACAAATGATGAGCAGGTCTTCAAAGGTGGAATTCTTTAGGGCTATTTATCTCTCTACAACTTGTTTCTGTGGTTTAGCATAGTACAGGGATTCTGTGACACTCCTTACATACTAGTTTTGATAATTTTCCAAAGGCTAAGAGTAATATCAAAGTTATTGTGAGCTTCCCACACAGGGAACTTGATTGTGTGCTACCCAGAAATAAGTTATCTTTCAAAGTGTGCAAAATACCTAAACAAAAACTTCATTCTTTAGCAAAACTGAGCTACAGACTGTAGTACCAGTACACATCCATCTGCAGTGAGGTTACACTTTGCAAATTTCTCAATATAGCAGCCACAGAAATGGACTCTTTAGAGTTATATGTGTGTAAATGGAAATCTTAGCCCTTATTCTTCATGTATTGTGCATATTATATGAAATTGATGATTTTTAATTCATTGAATGCAGAGAACAAATCTGTTAGTTTCTACTGCATATCTTTTTGGGCACAACTCATTTGGTGTTATGTCTCTGAGCTCTTTAATCATCTTCATGCCCATTATTTTTGGTCTTTATCAGGTAAATTCTGAACTAGTTTTTTTGAGTGTTGATTTTAAAAAAATATTTCAGTTTTATTGATTTTTTTTCTTTATAGTTTTTAGTTTGTCTACATGTAACTGTAAATTAATAAGGCACAATCCATCCAATATGAGATTTTTATGTCTGACTTATGTGAAAATATTCTTCGAAGCATTATGTAATTAACTTTTATGAAAGCACACTAAATTAAAATACTGCTAATCAGGCCTTTCAAGGCTGTCATATGAGAATAGCAAACCTTTGGATAAAGGAAATGCATGTGAAGTCTGTAGAGCCCATCTTAATATTGCTTTACAAAATAAGTGATCATCTCTGCTGGCTACAACTGCTGTTGCACAGAAAGCTGGTGTGTAGGACCATGGGGGACTTGAAGCAAGAGACTTCTGGCGTGCTTCCACCAGAGGGGTATAGCACCAGCCACAGAGCAGAGGATAAGAGGCCACAAGGAGAGTGAGGAAAGGGTCAGGTATACAGTCAGTTCCATAACTGTAAAGGCTATGTAAACAGAAGTACCATAACGGTAAAAGACTTAACACTCCCAGCTGCATGGAATTGAGCTTCTGAACCTTCACTGTGTATATTACAACTTCGGTGTAGAGGGGACTTAGAGAGCCAAAACTCACGTCACACACAATGATAACAACATTGCATAGGTTAGTGCCTGATGGGGTATTGCATTTGTCAGTTTAACCTGCCCTTCCAGACTGCTTCTTCCTGCCAATTTAATTCACAAACAAAAAAAAAAAAAGAAAAAAAAGAAACAGGGCTGAAGCACAGAGACATATCTGAGCTTTTCAGACAGAGAAAAACATTCAAAAACATCTGAAATTTAACTTTATGCTATTTTTGGAGAACAGACCCTGCTTCTAACCATCATATTGTAAAGATATTGTTTACTGTCAGAACTGAGTTTCATGTTTGCTTTGTGAATTGACTTTTTTGGTGTCTGAAAGATGTTGCTTGGTAAGAAGCTGACATTAAGTTCACCAGTTTGCACAGACTTCCCAAATTCCATCCAGGTGTTTTTCTTAAAGCTGAAATAATAATGCTGTTAATATATTATGTCACTAACAAGTACATGTATGAAATGTTTCTCCTTGTTATGCTAATCAGCTTTCATTATCCAGTAATGAGGTTAAATCTGAGTTTCCATTTTAAGAAATAATCAGCATATTTCTGCCATGCATACTTCAGAATATTATCGAGTGTATTTGCCCGATTTTTGCAATACCTTGTGCCTACTTTCTCTGAGTTGAGGGGAAATTCAGAAGTGTCCTAAGCCCCATAAGGAAGGCATATAAAAATAACCAAAAAAAATTGCTTCAAAATCTGTCTCATGTCCAGCACATAGAATCATAGAATCGTCCAGGCTGGAAGGGACCTCCAAAGGTCATCTAGTCCAACCCCCCCGCAGTCAGCAGGGACACCCCCAACTAGACCAGGTTGCCCAGGGCTTCATCAAGCCTCACCTTGAATATCTCCAGGGACGGGGCCTCAACCACCTCCCTGGGCAACCTGTTCCAGTGCTCCACCACCCTCATAGTAAAGAACTTTCTCCTGATCTCCAATCTAAATCTGCTCCCCTCCAGCTTAAAGCCATTGCCCCTCATTCTGTCACTACAGGCCTTTGTAAACAGGCTCTCCCCAGCCTTCCTGTGGTACCCCTTCAGGTACTGGAAGGCTGCTATTAGGTCTTCCTGGAGCCTCCTCTTCTTCAGGCTGAACAACCCCAGCTCCCTCAGCCTGTTCTTGTACCAGAGGTGCTCCAACCCCCTGATCATTTTAGTGATCCTCCTCTGGACCCTCTCCACCAGGTCCATATCTTTCCTATATTGAGGGCTCCAGACCTGCACACAATACTCCAGGTGAGGTCTCACCAGAGCAGAGTAAAGTGGAAGAATCACCTCTCTGGACCTGCTAGCAATGCATTTTTTGATGCAGCCCAGGATGTGATTGGCCTTCTGGGCTGCAACTGCACACTGCCTGCTCATGTCCAGCTTCTCATCCATCAGCACCCCCAAGTCCCTTTCCTCAGGGATGCTTTCTAATACCTCATCCCCTAGTCTGAGGATTGTTCCGGCCCAGGTGCAGAACCCTGCACTTGCTTTTGTTGAACCTCATGAGGTTCACCTGGGCCACCTCTCCAGCCTGTACAGGTCCCTCTGAATGACATCTGTGTATTGACAACACCACACAGCTTGGTGTCATCTGCAAACTTGCTTGATGGTGCTCTCAATCCCTCTATGTCATTGATAAAAATGTTAAACAGTACCGGTCCCAGCACAGACCCCTGAGGGACACCACTTGTCACTGTTCTCCATCTGGACTTCAAGCCATTGAGTACCACCCTCTGGATGCGACCATCCAGCCAATTCCTTATCCATTGAACAGTTCATCCATCAAATCCATATCCCTCCAATTTGGCAAGCAAACATCTCTGTTCTGTTTGCATTATCGTTTTGAAATTACAGCTGTCTTCCTGTTGTATAGAGCTGCTTTAAAACAGGGAGTATTAGTAGCCACATGCCTAACTGACTGTGTGTTACAGTAAGTTGAGTTCTAAATGCATGAGATGTACAACATGCTGTTGTAGGGAGTTCCTTTAATTGTCCTGCAACTTCTTCTCTGATCTTGCTGTTGAAACTCGTGGAGGAGTTGATTGCGCTGTGTGTGTTTGTGCACACTGTTTGCCTTCTCCTACAGTGAAGGTTTTTTTTTTCTGCCTGCTCCCTGCTATGTGACCTTAAAACAATAATCCACCTGCAGCTGGGAGTGTTAGCTTTTGAGGGAGAAGCAAACCATAGAAGGCTTGCTTCTATGCAAGAATCAGGAAGGCGCTGTGGGTAGCTCCTTTCACTGTTTCTGTCAGTACCCTGTCCTTTAATTTTTTGAAATTAAAGATATGTAGAGTCTGCAAGTGTAAGTGTTGCAAGTGCAGAATGATGGCATCATTGGTATGTGCTTTGCTACAGATGTTGCAGTGCTCTAGGACTTTACCGCTTTGCAAACTAAGTCCTATTGCTTTTCTTGGAGTAGTGTAATTTGTGAGAGAAACTAACAAATTCCATTCTCACTTTTCGTCAGTTTGTACCCTAGTGTTTCAAGACAAAAGCTTTGTGCCAGCATTGCATATGTGGATACAGTTTTGATTTATTGCCAGTAGTACTGATGTGGGTAGACAGGTGTTAGCTGTCTGTATTTGTACCCAGATCACTGTTAGGATGATTCCACATAAACTGAGGCAAGCTGGATTCTAGATGTTCTCACTGGTTTGTTATTGTACATATGGCAAGTGAGCGAAAGCCTGTATTTGTTAGTGTTACATGTTTAACAGTATCATATCTTGGGGAAGAAAATAGCAAATGTTAAGATAAGCACTAATTATTGTAAAAACGGTTCAGAAGAGTGTGGGTTTTGTTACTGGAAAGGCAAGAGAGTTTTAGGACTGTATTTTGCATAGTGAGAAACACCTTTACATGATACATATAACTTTGTAGATAGCCAACTATGTCTTAATGCTACTGGGTGCATGTTTATTCTCCCTGCAAAGTGTGAAACCTCTCGAAGCGTTACAACTATTTTAGTCCTTGTTAACCTTGCCTGGAGAGGTAATTATTGTGTATCTTGCAGCCCAATTTAATGGAACTGAGAAACGGCAAGCATCTCCTTGTCCCTCAAATGACCAGCGCAGGCAGTTAAGAGCACCGGGAGGAGGCTTTAAACACCTCAAACATGGCAGTCCAGAATTTTGTGGGATCCTGGGAGAGAGAATAGATCCAACTATTCAACTGGAAAAGCAGATGTAAGTAAGCACAGTAATGATCTCTAGCTCTTTGCCTTCCCACTTACAGGAGCAGCAAGTGTCCCACATCCTGCTGTCCAGCTCCCCCACCTCAGTATCCTCCATGTTAGTGCTCACATAAACCTATTCTTATTCTCCGAAGTGTAGGTAACTTTTGTGGAGGACAAAACAGAGTTAAACAGGAAGCTCATCTCAGGAGCAGTGAATTTTGTCTGCCAAGTATGTGCAGCTATTCCACTTTCAACCATATTGGTTACGTTGCATTAGGGAAAAAGGGTGTGTATCACACAGATAAAAATTGTGGTTTAAAACTTCAAAAAATCCGTATATTTGTAGCTGCTTAGAATGTTTCTGGTACCTCAGATGTGCCTTGCGTCTGGATGTAAGACTGCTCCAGGAGGAGACTGATAAAACCACTACAAAGTTTTCAGGAAAGAGACTGTTATTTCTACTCTGATAGTGTCAAACTTGAGGGTGGTATTTAGAAACCATTTTGCCAGCTCAAACTTCTGGGGAAGAAGCCTCTGTCTTCCCTCATTGTCACCCTTCCTTGAACCATTTGGACAGACTGGCTTGTGTGATAGAATGACCCACTGCCCTGTATCATACCAAAGGTGCAGCCTCATAGAAGGGGCCAGAATCCTCTATTATACAAAGAAAGAAAAATCTTGTGGAGCAATGTGCACAGATATTTGTGAGCACTGAGAAGCCAATGGATTCACACAGTAAAGTGAGTAAGCTGTGTCTTGAATCCTTGAAGGCAGTCCCACTCCAGACACTGTCATTCTAAGTTATCTTCACAGGTGAGGGAGGGCATAACTTCGCATGGATGTGAGTGTGCTTTTTGTGGGAATGCTTTGTTCATGAATGACAGTGATATTGAGAGGATTAGTAATTGTTTTGCATTTCAGATCCTCAGTAGGAGAGAATCCCATCTGTCAGTTGCATCTGAGAGAAAGTAGTTCCAGAAATTCCTTTTTCTTTGACATTTTATTTTTACATGCAATATTTGGGAACTTAAACTTGAAAGAGAGAATAAAATCAACTGCATGGTGTCATATTCCATCCAGTTAACCTCAGCCTTTGAGCCATCTGCTCATTGACAGATTGTAGATGTATCTCCAACAGAGGAATTAACAACCACTGTTGTGAGATTACTCACTGATAAAATAAGGTATATTACTACAAAGCTAAAAATTTGACTGTAAAATTTGGTGCTCAAATTTGGGTAGTCCAGCCCACTATACCCCCCAAAAAATATATTTAAAATACTGCAGGAAGTTGAGCATCTGTCAATTAACTTTTTGGCTCACTACTACATTGTTGTGTAGTTCTCTCTCATAGTATAACTGCAGTTATATGTAACTGCAGTTGATAATAACTGAAAACCGCAGAGATGGTTTTGCTTCCTTTAATTATTGATGTGTTAATGACCTGAGGTTCAAGGACAAAACTTGAAATGAATGCACAGTTAACAATAATGTATCAGAAAATGGAAGAGTTTAGGTTTATTGTACCTTAGAATACTAGGTATTATTATTTACCTTATTATTCATAAGAATTCAAACTGTTCAAGTTTGGTAGCATCAGATCTCTCCACAGCACATGCCAAACTATTCCATCTGTCTCTACAAAAATCGAGTCTGCTTTTGTAGAAAGGAGTACAAGATCTAGAGGAAGGGAGGCATGCAAGTTGAAAAGGGGATAGATAGGTTAAAGAGTTTCCCAAACAGGCAGAAATAGCAAGGTGTGATAATATATCAAGAAAATACTTTTAGTTGCTTGTGATTAAGAAGTCTGTAACTATGAACTTAGTAATGCATGGACCCAGGGGAATTGAATTAATTTGTTCCATTTCCTCAATAACAGTGAAAAAAAGAAAGTGTGACCTGTTGTTTCCATTGTCTTACTGAAAGTTAATCCCTCCCAGCCTTATACACAAGATCTGGTGACTTCCTGTTTTCCTCTGACCAATTCAGAAACAGAGTAGTGTTGTGCATTATATGAACTGTAATAACTGATTATACTTACTGTATAATTGATGCAGCTGTCCTGTCTTCATTGGAGCTGTGGCCACTTAGTGGCTGAAACCTGAGCATTAAGAAAGTAAGGAACACCAGGAAGGACATTCTATAAACCACAATCAGGATGTTTTCAATCTTGGGAGGAGATCCTGGTAGAGATCAAATGTGTGACTATGTTTGAATTTTGCTTTCAGATTTGCATTGTGTGACTATGTTTTCCAAGAAACCTTGGAAGACATGTATGTCTTCAGGGTTTTATGTCCCATGCTTTTGCATAGGTATCTTTCACAAGTTGTCGTTTTGCTATTTTGTGACCACATCATTAACATTTGAATCTTTGACCTTTCTGCACAATACTTATATGTTGATATTTAAAGAATAGACACACCCAGTGCAAAAAGACCCAATGCAGTTGAAACAGGAAATTAGTCAGGAACTTTAAGCTGATTATAGCACTACGCTTATCTTGCAAGCTAGCTAGAACAGGAGCAATCTGAGTGTCCCGTTTACATGGGCATATGATTCATAAGTAATTACACTTTTGCATGCTGCTGTTTACTCTCAGCCAAAACAGCTTCTAGGCATCACTTCTGAATCAGATGTTCTCCCATCAGCAGTTGTCTTCAGACTTCTTTGGGTTTTTTTCCAACTGTTTAAAAAGCAGGTTTTGCTTCCTGGAACCAGCCCTGCATTCTTTTTCCACGAACCTCTCTGCCAAGTGTGGAACAACAGATCTTAAGAATATATGAAATACTTTCCTCTGGATATCAGAATCTAGGGTATCTCTCTGGTTGTGGCTAAATCATATTTAATTTGGTTTTATTTGACCCTTTTGGGAGAAAAGAAAGAATAGCTAATAGGAATAATTTGTAGACTCTCCCAAATCTATTTTCTGTTTTACACTTAGTGTTAATATTCTTCCCTTACTCTCAGAATACAACCTAGTCTTTAAATGGCTTGTTGAGAAATATTCTTCAGCAGTAAATAATGGGAGATAGGGAGAACACTACCTGAAAACATTCACATCTGTGTCTTAATTCTGTTTATGAAGTGATGGAGCTGTCAGGGCCTCCCTTTCTAGTTTGTCTTGAATATACAATAGTATAACCTACTTTTTAGCTTTCTCTAAAGCAGATTTCGGTTGTAACCAATCACACAATGAATTTTTAATTTAAGCACCAACTTTTGGTTAGCATATTCATCAGATTTGACAATGAAACTGACATTAGCACAAATTAGTTAAGAGCATGACTTCTGTCAAAGGGATCTGTCTTGTCTTTATTTGCTTTTTGGTTGGAACATCTGCCTTAGAGTGAGTTCAGCAGAGAAATAAAATTACAACAAATGAAAGAAAACTTATTTGCACAAGGCTGGTGATAGCTCCTGGTAATAACAGACAGAGAGCACTTCTGATGAAGCATTGTACTGCTTAAGCAGGCATGGTAGTGTCCCATCATGCTTCAAAGCGCATCTGGCAATTGCAGGAAGGGAGAGATTTTTCTCAGAGTTGTAGTTGCTTGAGAAGCCTGAGGGAAGTGTCAAAGCATTTACTGTGAGATTTTAACTGCTGATACAAAGCAGCACATGCTGAAGAGGTTCTTTAGTTGTAGTGGTCAGTTTAGTGACCATCTCCCCATTGCCTTTCTTCCCTGAATTTATCACACCCACTCCACAGACCCACAGAGATTTACTTAAAGCACTCTGAGTTGTCACAGCTGTGTTTAGAACAAGTGTCTTTGTTACAGATGCTCACACTTTATCACTTTTCTCATTTCTCAAAGATTCATTTTAGTAAAACTTTTCCACTATTAACTGTTCATATTCTTCAGATGTGGTTTTCTTTTTGTTTGCTTTTGTTTGTTTTCTTTCTGTTCTTTTGTATACCAATTTAAATACTGATCTATCACAGGAATGAAATAGAGTAAACGTGTATCTTGTGGATCTACTACTTGCAAGACGGAGATTATAATTTGTTGCTCTGAGTGGGAGTCTCTAACATAAATATGTACAACAATTCTGGTGCATGCTCTCCTGATCGAATTTTTTTCCTTCAGCTAACAGGAACTACAGGCCTCCAAGTTGTGAAGTTCACTTCAGATAATGCAAGCGGTGTGCTTTTTATTCATAGATTTTAGATCTTAAAGATATCCAGGTGATATTAACCATTATTGATACTGTAAGGAAACAACGTATTGAAAGGAGTATGAGGTGGAACGTGTGTGTATTAATCTCTCTGCTTTTTTCTAGATGGTATCATGGAGCAATCAGTCGGACAGATGCAGAAAACCTGTTACGTTTATGTAAAGAGTGTAGCTACCTTGTAAGAAATAGTCAAACAAGCAAGCATGACTATTCTCTTTCACTGAAGTAAGTACTTGTTAGGAAAACATAATAAACATGATTTATAAGCCATAACTTCTATAGTGCCAAAAGAGAAAAAGATCCAGTCTGTTGCTGCACTGGTTCATCTCAGAAGGGCACGCAGAGAATTTGAGACTGTCAGTCTGCATGATGTATAGTGACAGTCACTGAATTAGGACCTTGCAATTCAGGGATGTTAAGAGATTTCTAGTCTTCATTTGATGCCCATTTAACTAAATAAACTTGGATTATTTTTTTTTTCTGATTTGAAAGGCTCCCGCTACTTCTGCTTCAGGCTTAATAAGCAATTGTATCATTTGGGGCTTTTATTCCTTTTACTTCATATATGGAAGAAAGGCTTCATGTGGTTTGCTGTGGTAGAGCTCTCGCAGCCTATTGTCATACATCATGTGCATCCACCCCTAGACCATGCTTAATGGCCTGCTCTGGGCTTGCTCCAGAGTTGGCTTCATGTTTTTATGGGCAGCCCTTACAGACACAGATGCAGCCTCACCAGTGCTCTGTAGGGGAAGCAGTCACTTCCTTCCAGAAGTTGGCTACACTTTTGCTACACAGCCCAGGGTGCAATAGGCCTTCGTGGACAGATTGATGAATCATGTTCTATCCTGTCGACCATAGTTCCTTTTCTGGCCAGTCATGGCCCAGCTTGCACGGCTCCCTGTGTTTATTCCCCCAAGGGCAGGAGCTTTCTATTTGCCTTGGTTGAGTTCCATTTAGGCTGCTATCCATAACTTCTAGGTCACGTTCTTTTTTTATCCACCTTCAGTGTGATTGTGGCCTCCCAAAGGCTGACCTGTAATGATATAGAGGAGATGCTTTTTGTTCATTTGTGGAATTCTGATAGCCATAGACATCATATACTGTAGGTTCAATGACTATGCACAACCCAAACTTAAGCATCTGCATACATCCTTATTAGGGAAGCAACAGGTGTCTGTCATGTATTCATGACTTGTAGCAGTTTGTTTACATTATATGCATTTTCTTTCTGATGTGCCATTGTCCTTTCTGCATTAAAGTATACTTGGCAGATTCTTCTCCAGCTCTTGCTGTACTCCTAAAATTGGCATGAACCTGTAATTCCATTAATTTATCTGCATGATTCTATGATTTTGTAGCAGAGCAGATGCATAGTGACCTGAAGGAAGGGAACAATACATCTCTCCTCATAATAAAGTATTTAAAGATGCCACCCACCCTTGTTTAAAGGAAATAACTAAGAAAGCAGTTATGATTCAAAAGAGATATTTTTTTCTGCTAAAAAATTGATATTTAGAGCAATATTTTAAGTGTGTACAGCTATAATTATAATGCCTGCAGTGGTTTCTGCTCAGTAGAAAGAGTCTCTTCATCAGAGAATTGTTGAACAAATCTGAAAGATATAGGCTTGATTGTGCTGTAGACACTTCCGAAGGGAATGCTGCACGTGTTAACTAGAAAACGGCAGCTTTCAGAGAAGCTGCTTTTAACATAGCATGATTTGTTTCCCTGCTGTAGCTTTCTATGTCATCTTAAACTCTATTTCCTTGCTGATGTAGATTGACTCCAGTTTTAACAGTCTTTGTCCCTGAACACACTTGGAAGAAACAATGATTTTAAGCCAGAAAGTTAGGGAGTGGGACATCAAGCAAGCTGTAAAAAGCCTTTGGGCCTCATTTTAATATCTTGAAGTAGAGGGCCTGTCCTTTGTTCTTGTTTTCTCCTGTCTAGATTCTTAAAATAGCCTGCCTAACATGCTAAAGAGAGCAGATGCTGAAGGGTCACTGTTGGGAGGAGATGAGATCACTTCTACCACCTGTGGTACTATAGCAGCGTGGTGCTACCCATCAGAGTGGCATTATATTGGATGGTTGCTTTTGCAGCAACAGACGGTTACCGTGTAACCATGCACCGGTTAACGTGTTAGCAGTTACTATGCCACTTTTCTCTTAACTGTGTAATTGTAAGCTTTTCCTCAAAGAGGCAGCATACTGTGCACACAGGCAGGTCATCTAGGAATAGAATGCTTCTGGCGTGGAAGTCACAGAGTGGTTTCTGCCTGCAGAAGGGCTGCAGGATAGCAGCCTTTACTCAGTATGGTGCAGGTGAAAGTATTTACGCCATTAATCTTGGGAATGGGCTCATCTAAGGAAGTTTTCTCAGTGGAGGCCACCAGGTTCTGCACATAGCCATGCTCTAGACAGTTGCTGCAAGGGTGGGATGGGTGTGCTCTGTCCTGAGACATCCATGAGACAGGACAGGACAGGCCTTTCCTTGCCTGAGTAAGGCTCATGGCCTGTCTATGAAGAGAGCCTCAGGCTCCTGACAGGCCAACATCAATGATGCCTTTTGGTTCAAAAGTAAAGACTGGCTGTAGCAAAAAGTGAATGTTCACAGGAAAACACAGGGGACAGGAAAGGGGTTGTCTTCTGGCACACATCTGGATCAATTCCAGGGCAAGACAGCCTTGCACCTGGATCCAGACAGCACAGATGGTGAAAACAAAATACTAGCTTAGGCTGCCTTTGCGTCAGACTGTCTATGGGGGCTTGCAGCTTGTAGTCACTGTCTGTCAGAGTCTGGCCATTGTCTTGGTGTGTTACCCAGCAACTACTTGCATTTTGACCTCCTATGTTCCCCTACATAGAGTGCACCCTCAGCAAGTTTGCTGATGACACCAAGCTTGGTGGCGCAGTTGACAAGCTGGAGGGAAGGGATGCCATCCAGAGGGACCTGGCCAGGCTGGAGAGGTGGGCTCGTGCAAATTGCATGAAGTTCAACCAAGCCAAAGTGCAGGGTGCTGCAGCTGGGACGTGGGAACCCCAGGCACAAATACAGGTTGGGTGGAGAATGGCTGGAGAGCAGCCCTGAGGAGAAGGATTTGGGAGTGCTTAGGGACGAGAAGCTCAACATGAGCCGGCAGTGCACGCTGGCAGCCCAGAGAGCCAACCGTGTCCTGGGCTGCATCAAGAGAAGTGTGGCCAGCAGGTCTCGGGAGGTGATTCTGCCCCTCTACTCTGCACTCGTGAGATCCCACCTGGAGTACTGTGTCCAGCTTTGGAGTCCTCAACACAGAAAGGACATGGACTGGCTCTAACAGGTGCAGTGGAGAGCCACGAAGATGATCAGAGGGATGGAGCACCTCTCCTATGAAGGCAGGCTGAGGGAGCTGGGATTGTTCAGCCTGGAGAAGGCTCTGGGGAGACCTTATAGCAGCCTTTCAATACCTGAAGGGTGCCTATAGAAGAGCTGGGGAGGGACTCTTTGCCAGGAGGTGTAATGATAGGACAAGGGGAAACAGTTTTAAATTGGAAGAAAAAAGATTCAGATTAGATATCAGGAAGAAATTTTTTACTATGAGGGTGGTGAGACACTGGAACAGGTTGCCCAGGGAAGTTGTGGATGTCCCATCCCTGGAAGTGTTCAAGGCCAGGCTGGATGGGGCCTTGAGCAACCTGCTCTAGTGGGAGGTGTCCCTGCCCATGGCAGGGGGGTTGGAAATCAATGATCTTTGAGGTCCCTTCCAACTCTAACCATTCTATGATTCTATAACAAAGGAGAGCCTGTCGTGGTGCTGCTACCCTCTTCACTATGCACAACATGAGCTAATGCCTTGCTTTCCTTACAGGAGCAGTCAAGGTTTTATGCACATGAAACTGATGAAAACCAAAGAGAAATACATCTTGGGTCAGAACAGCCCTCCCTTCGACAGTGTTCCTGAAGTCATCCACTACTACACCACAAAAAAGCTGCCTATCAAAGGAGCAGAACACTTGTCACTGCTCTACCCTGTGGCTGTGCGGACCCTCTAATAATCTAGTCTCACCCCTTCCTGTGGATGGGAGGTGAGAAGTAAGCTGAGTTGCACATAATTCATTGCTGAAATTCAGTGTTTGAGTCTGTGATGGAGAGTGGCAACCTTTAATCTTGGGGATATGAGCGCTCTGCAGAGTTGCATATGGGACTGTGTGTGTAGATTTTTATGCTGCAGCATGCCTCTAAAACTGCTTCTACGTAAGAGAAAGAAATCTTATTTTAGTGCAAGCAGAACAGATAACCTTCCCAGAGCTTCTCTGTGAATAAAAGTACTTTCCAACAAAAGTTCTTCCATGTTTTGAGAAGAATAAACAAGTTCTACTCAGCAGTAAAACACCAGCAACTTTTATTGTCTTAGGATCCTAAGGAACTTCTCCATGTAAAAGAGTAACCTGACTCTGAGGGACCCTAGGATATTCTTGGTGGACCTGAGAAGGAGTTACCTAGCAGGCAAGTCCCTGTGGCTCTGGTGGATGTTGTTTTTTTTAATGCAGCTTTTGGGGATAGTTGAATGTAAAACTATTAGACACACAATCTTAAAACAATTTTGTGAGAGTAAATCATGGTCAATTATTTATGAATAGGGAATGTAATTAAAAAGTAGTTTGTTATATATTTTTATCTTTTTTGCTACACTAATCTCTTAAGGGTTACAGTCTTCCTTTGCAAGTTTTATTCTGTTTGGGGCAGTTACACCGTAATGTTTTAAGTAGTTGAGAGTGAGTCATTTTAATATGGGTGAGTATTTATGCATGAGGGTAGTTGAAGGCTTTAGTAGGCAAAATCTTCACTTGCTTATTCACCTGGATCAAACAGTTGTCGTACTGAAGTAGCAAACTAACAAGTGCATGTCACACTGCTTTTCCATAAGATGGCTTTTGCAGCTGCATAATTGAGAACTGTGGTATGTAGCAGAGGAGAATTTGTTTTTCTGGTATACCAAGGCATTCTTGAAATATTGTCCCTTGACATGTCCTGGCCAGTGTTCATTTCCACCATGAGCGAAAGCCTCCTGCTGTATTTCAGTCACTGTTAGCCAGAAGCAGTTCGGAAGTTGCTTATGCCTTAGTTATGCCAACTTGCCAACTCAATGGCCATCCACTTGAGAGATATTTTCCACATGCTCTGTGTGTTCATTGGATGAGAAAAATGAAAAAAAAATAGAATTGTGCAGAAATTAGAACTAGGGAATCAATAGTGTCATAGTCCTCACTTTGTGCCATCTCCTACCTATGTCTAGAATGTTGTGCAATAACCCATCAGCTGTTGTAGCAGCAAAATGGTTATACACGGTTTATGTATTTTACAGACTGCAATAGGACTGTGAAATTGTGTGTTATTTAATTCAGCTTTCTTACCTACTACTCCCTTTTATGTTTGCTTAGAAAGAAGTGCAAATTTGAAACTTTCAGTGGAATAACCACTTACTGCCTGTAAAAGTAGTGCTTCATTTTATTGTTGAATCTGCTAAAAACCTCAAGGATTTCCCATATAATGTAATTGGTGATGAATGTTCTGCCTCCTTCTAGGCCCGCCTAGTTCTTTATATGACATCCAACACAGTTTGAACAAGAGTGGATCATAAATATATGAGGAGCCCAGTGCTGATCTGTGCAGCAACAGTAATGGGTCAAACTGTTCCTCTCTCACCCAGAATTTAAAGCTGCATTGGAATTTGTTCTTACAGGTTTTCTGAGAGAAGGATGGCAGAATGGAGTACAAAGAGACAACATTCCTCTCCAAGTGAAACCAAACATCCCCTTTTTTGTGTGCTCACCTACATGCACTTTTTGTGTCGCTAAAATCTTTGCAGAACTCTTAATTCTCCTCTTAACATCACACAATTGGCAAGGGCATGCAGGCACTTTTAAGTTAGCATATTCTTCTCTCATCAGAGTAGGAGTTCATGAATGTGGCAAAGCTCGCAGAGATTAGGTATCAGATTGCATCTGCTGAGTCTTTACCTGTGTGAGCTCTGGCAACTCCATCATGCCCCTTGGGACAGAAATATGTCATATTTCTTGTTTTGCATGTTGAAGTACATTTTTGAGAATTTGTCATTGTTGCTGTTCTATGGCCTGTTTTTCTTCTTCTGTAACAGAAAAGTAACCCCCTACTCTCTCCTACAGCAATTACCAGTTAACCAACAGCACCGTTAACCAAGGCCTTCCCAGGCTTCTCTAAACACATTGTCCTTAGCTCATAGAGATGACTGTTGTACCAAATCTTTCTTGTCATGAGCCTTGTTGAAATTCAGCTGAAGCCAGCAGATGCCATTTTATTGCTGTCTGCAGATTTTGCGTTGGATTCCCTTGCTTCATACAAATCAGGTGAAGATGCATCATACACTGTGTATACAGTTTTTTACAGCTTCAAGGATCAGAACAGGGTCCTTGATTCAGCAAGAGGAAATCATCTCAGAAAATGTTGCTTATCTGTGGGAAGCTTTTTTCAATTATTTTTAAAAAGACTTCTAGAAAGTATTCAGAAATTGCAGAATAAATAAAACCGGGATTCTGTTTGCACTGTAATGTTGTCTTTGTTTATTTAAGTGATTGTATGATATTTTTCCAATGAAGGAATATTCTTCCCAGAATTTTTAATGTACAGTGAAAATGTGGTGTGTTGCAGTGTGTAGTATTGCATATAGGTGGAAGATCTCGTAGAGATCATGCCTATATAGCATATTAAAAGTTTATTTTAAAAAAAAATATATACCTCTCCCTTTTCTTTCTCTAATTGTCAATGTGTGCTCAGATTATCTTCAACAGACAATAGTTGAAGTGGCCTTTAAGAACAACTTGTGTTTGTGTGTCTTAATCACATAATGAAAATAATCATTAGGCTATAATCTGTTTTGGAGTCTGGAGTCTGGAAAAATGGCTCAGTTCTACCCTGAGTAATTGTCTTGACAATGTGCACCTTTGCAAGGGCTTTGCCAAAACAGCACAGGTGCATGTGTAAATGCCATTGCTGTTCAATTTCTTGAGATGCTCAAGGAATCCAGTTATTGCTGTGTACAGCATAACACCGGTGAATCGCTTTTTGCAGACTTTAGGTGACATGTTAATTAGGCTTCTATTTTGATTATTATTTCACAGCACAATGAAAGTGCCTGAGCTGGGAACATCTGTATGATGGGTAGGAGAGTTCTAGTGGCCAAGATTGTATCTCACAGCTCCTTCCATAGTTGGAAAAATTGTTATGGTTTGTGGAAGTACAGTCATCACTATTGGTTCTGCACTTGATAATAACAGTTTATTCTCTGACTCTGAAATTAAGTCTTTAGAGCCAGGACATAAAGGTACAAAACACACATTTCTACCTTCTCAGCCTTCTCAAAGAGCATGGCGTGAGTCTATGCTCTGAGAAAAACTGGTTGCTGCTTTATGTGCTGCTCCTCAGCATCCCAATGAGGTTCAGGATTTGCCCTTTCTCTTCGTGTCATTGGCTCAAGTTGGCAACACAAACACTGTGTGGCAATGGTGGCAGAGGCTGCAAATGCCATCTTCATCCAGGCTCTAATTTCGTATTCACTCTGCTGCACTGCTAAGCTCCAGTGGTCCTCTGCTGCAGTTAGTTATTCATGTTGTCCTAAGGTGCTGCCTGAGTGGAACAAGCGAGGTCTTAATGCTTGTTTAAATAACTAAATAAAACCCACCCAACAGACTGCTGCACCAGCCCCTTGGAGAGGGGGAAAAACAAAATAGAAATTAATCAGACCTCTTTGCACTCCTGGTCTGAGCATGGGTAGAAGGGAATGAACAGTGGAGAGTCAACTGCTTTTCCTGTGTTCTTTCCTTTTTAATGATCTGCAATGATCCCATATAAAACACTGGTAGTTGCTTCCTTCTATTACTTCTTGCTGGAGATCCCAACAAGAAGGAAAGATGAAAGGAAGGAAATGGCAGCAGCTCAACAAAGTTGTTGGTCTGAAATGAAGCAAGTAGAAGGCCTACTTAAAATGGACATTCATAGGTTCCAAGAGATGACCATGTACAATCCTATTTTCTGCAGGATGTTATTACTTGTCTCAGGCCTTGAGCTTACTCTGAAAACCATGTACCCACAATTCAGAATTGCTGTGTCGACCTGTACCTGTAGTTAGCTCAGTGACAAGATCAATCCAAACATTGCCCGTGCTTTCTCAAGTGTCTTTCAGGGTCCCTGGATTGCATTTATTGTTGCTGACAGTTCCAAGACGCAAATAGAGTAGCTTAATTGCAGCTTTGCAGGGCTCAATTTTCTTTCTAAGCTTGTCTTGGATATTGTTATTACTGTGACATTGTATTAGGTACAGGTAACAGTTAATTGTTCACACCTGCAGCAGTAGCATAGGAAAAAAAAAGTGTTTAATTCTATGCCAGAATATCAGAGCCTTCCGTGGTCCTGGTATTGCCCCAGCTGGCAGACAGGGCCCTCAGTGCCTACCTATAAGCAAAGCTGATGTGGCATTTATGTCATTGACATATAGGGCCTGTGCAATTACTAGAGCATTGCCTACAGCATTATGAAGCCACAGAAAAATCTCAAGGTTCCTACAGCCAGCCTCACCACTTGAAGAAGTAACTTTGAGGGACCGATATCAGCATCTCCTCCATTTGAGTCAAGCCACTTTGCCACCAGAAAGGGACTGTTTACCTGTCAGCTAAAGGTCAAAGTGTACAAGGCTTGCAAACCAAAACTTTATTCATGAGTAAATCCAAGGGCTTGTGCCTTGAACAGAGATCCGGAACTGGCTACGCCTGGCAGTCCATATTTTGGAGATGACTGCTAGCTGTTGATAAAGTAGAGGGAAATTCAGAGGTAGCTATACAGAGTGAGCTTGATTGGCACAAGGAATGGGACAGCACGAACCTCCTCAAATTCCATAAAGGCAGTCCTGCACTGGGATGCACTGGCACCTTGCAGAAGGACAGACTGAAGGGTCACCAGTGGGAGAAGAGTAGCAAGGAGCTGAACAGAGTCAGCAACCTGCCTTTACAGTCATGCAGGCCTACTGCAGTCAGGACTGTGTGGTGGAAACATAGCCAGCAGGTGGAAGGAAGTGATTATTTCCTCTACAGAAAACTGGTAAGGCTGCATCTAGATGCTGTGCCTGGTTTAGGTGGCTCCAGGTACAAGGAGAGATGTCAACAAACTGAAACAAGTCTAGAGCAGGATCTCTAGGACGGTCTGGGGGTTGGAAGACATGATGCATGATGACCTTCAGTGGGAATTGGGCTGGTTTAGCTGGAAGAAAAGAAGGCCAAAAGGAGAGGAATGTTGCTCTTACTTCTAATCTGGTGCTTTGCATCTCCTCAGGCTGTTAGTGGCTTGAGCTCTCCCTCCTGTGTTGCTCTCTGGTTTCCCCATAGCAATTCTGAGAGGTATCATTGGAGCCCACCAATTCTGTCCTGGTGGTGCAAGCTCAGAGGGGTAGACTGGGTGGTAGAGATTTTGGCAGAGCCTTTCTGCTCTCAGTGAATTTGGTGGAGAGAGGAAGTTTGTTTAAGCCCCTTTTACCACCGGCACCTTCCCCACCTTCATCACTACTGTTTGGTTTGAAGTGGCAGCAGGCTGTCAAAGTGGGCTTGAATCAAAGCACTGGGGAGCATATGAAACACTACACAGACCCAGCCACAGTGCAGGCTCAAAAGCAAGCTTTGTTTCTCTGGCCAATGTGGCGGTTGACCTGCATTGGGCTTGGCTACACTTTATTCAGAAAGTAAACAAGAATAGGGGAGTGATTTCAGGGTTTAGTTTAAGAGACATACTCCAGCTGCAGTAACAACTGGAGATAGAAGTAGTAAAATGGCATACGGTCACTGACATAGCCAACATGTTCTTTTCTATTCGCATAATAGAAGGGCATAGACTTCAATTTGCTTTCACCTGGGAAGGAATCTAGTGTACCTGGAATCAGTTACTCCAGGGGTCAAAGCACCTCACCATTTGCCGTGGACTGATTCAAGAAACCTTGGAGATGGGCAGTGTTCTTGAACGCCAACAGTATGCTGATGACATCATACTGTGGGGATAAACAAAAGATGAAATATTTGAAAAAAGGTTAAGCTGTCATTAAAATCCTGCTAAAGGTAAGAAGTGCCATCAGAATTCTAAAGACTAAGATAGAAATAGGATCACTAGGAGTAAAATGGATAGATGGAAGATGACATATCCAATGAAGTGGTAGAAAAGATTAGTATGTTTTCCAAAGCTACCAACAAAATGGAAGCTCAAATATTCCCTTGAAATGGTAGGATTCTGATAAATGTACTTTCCTAGATACAGTCAACTAGTAAAACCTCTATAAACGGTGGTAAAAGCAAAATTGCTTTATGTGGGGACCCGGGCAACAGCAAGACTTCCAACAAGTAAAGCTGGAAGTGGCACAGGAAATAGCCCTGGACTCTATCCAAACTGGTGATAAGTGCAAGATATCCTGTATGTTACCTCAGGAGGTGTTGTAAACTCCTGCAGTGCATGGCAAAGGAGCCCCAATGAATCCAAGGCCGACCACTGAGGTTTTGAAGCTGCAGCTAATTAGTCAGAAGTTAAGTACACACCTCAAGAGAATAAGAACCTTTCCACCTATGACTATGAGCACAATCAGCATCTGAAATATCAGGAGCAGAACAACCATGTACATAAGTGCTCTGATTACCTGTACTACACTGGATGTTCAAAGAACGGGCGGCACCCATCCATCACACTACTGCCCATACTTGGAACAAACGGACTGCGCCAATGATCCAGTGAGCACATTCGGGAAATAAAGAACACCCTGCATAGAGAGCAATAATACAGAGTACCCTCATCCGTTATGTGGTTATTTGGAGTGGAACAGGACAATCCAGACTGTTTTCAGAAGCCAAGGCTATGCAATTAGCCCTAGAAAAACCTAACAGGAAAAGTGTCCCACAGTGTATGCTTATAGTGGCTCTTTGTTGATGTAGGGATGCTGAGTAGGGATGGATAGAACCACAGGGAAAAACAAGAATGGGAAGGTTGAGTTAAACCCTTTTGGGCCACCAAGATGTGGCAACAAATTGTTTGCAGCAAAGATGAATATTCGAATATCATGTGAGTGCACCCATCCCAAACAATGGGGCCACAGAAGAGTGCCAAAACACTAAACTGTGGTTGCAACAATGAACCTTTGCAACACAAAGGAGAATCGGTCACGGCCCAGTGGGCCCATGAGGTGGCAGGACATAAAGACCAAGATGACACCTACAGCAGGCCAGAGAATGAAGAATAGATCTTCCACTAGCAGTGATTACCTCAGTCATTCAGGACTCTGAAGTATGTGCTGTAGCAGAGGAAGACTGTTGCCTACACCTGAAAGAATATGTGGAAATTTGGTGAAGCTTGTTGGCAAGTTAACTGTATTAACCTACTCCCCAAGTCTGCCTTCAAGGAACAGTTGTACTAGCCATGGTAGAAATATCGACAGGATGGTTGGAAACCTACTTAGTTGCACAAGCCGTGGGGATGACCAGAACGTACTGATGATTTCATGGAATGAATCTATAGGAAAAGCTACAAG